CATTAGAATAGACCGATAGAAAATATCCCAACGCAACGTGTGAACTAAGAAGCCAGTCGTCTTCCACAATAGCAAAAGTCAGTCGTCAAGTCATCATCATGGACTTAGACCAAACACCATGATTTTCCATTTGATTAAACTCTTAAATTTATTCCTTCAATTATTGACTTTAGATTTGTTTAAAAGGGTTAAAGCCAACTGTAGTCCTCATACTTTGTGAAATTGTTCGTTACCGTCCCTCTACTAAGGAAATGTTCGATGTCATCCCTCTACTTTCCTTAACAGTATAAATGTCATCCCTCTACTACACATTTTTTGTTCAATGTCATCCCTAATGGGATGCCATCCACACTTCCGTTAATTTTGACCCGTTAATTACTAACGGTCAAATATCCAACTTATTGTTTATTATTTTTTTCGGACAAGTGGGACCATTTTTTTTTTAACTCTTTCTTTTATTTCCTTTTCTTTCTTCCTCACGCTCATTTTCCCTGAACCACAGAACGAAGCCCCTGCCCTGCCCTGCCCTTCTTCACCGTCTTCACCGTCTTCACCGTCTTCACCAGTTCACCAGTTCACCGGCTCACCAGTTCACCCATCCAGTTGTCTTCACTCTTCTTCACCAACCTTCGGTTTTTCTTTCTTCGCCATCTTCACCATCTTCACCATCTTCACCAAAAAACCCATGCCTAAAATTGCCCAAAATCGCCCAAATTTGCTGAACCCAAAATCGCCTGAAATTGTTGAAAATCATCTTGATTTTCTTCACCCAAATCACGCACCATCTTCACCAGTTCACCCGATAGGTTGCTCCTCGTCTCCACCCTTCTTCTCTATATGTTCTGGCTTTCTTTCTTTCTTCGCCATTTTCACCGAAACCCACAAAATCCTACACCCAAAATCGCCCAAAATTGCCCAAAAATGCCAAACCCAAAATTGCCCAAAGTTGCCAAAAATCATCTTGCTTTTTCTTCCCCCAATCATGGAATCACCCAAATGTTGGAGCAATTGCTGTTAACCGTCGAATTTTTCATTTAGTTTGTTTTGATTTTGGGTTGTGATAGTTACTGTTAATCATGAATTTTCTTGTTGATTTTGTGTTGAATTTGGCTTGGTGAGATCTGTTATTAATTGTTGTTGATTTTGGGTTGTGCTGTGGTATTATGGTTGATTTGGATTTTGATACATATAGTTTTTGTTTTATATTGCTGTAGAAGGATGATGAGGCTTGAGCTGAATTTTGGATTACATGTTACTGGATAAGGAGCAAACACTGATGAATGAGCTCCTGTAATTGAATTTGGACGAGCTCCTGGAATTGAAAAGAGAGAATTCGGACCTGCTCCTGTAATTGAAAAGAGAGAATTCAGACCTGCATGGAGAGATTAACCAGTTGAAGAATTTGAACTCTGAAATGGGAAAAAAGCTCAGAGATCAAGAGATGGTTGCTTCAATTTGGTTGAATTTGAAAATGTGTTTTCTGCAATATTGCTTATTTGGCAATTAAGTTGTATTAGATAGTTTCCTGCATTTGTAGAGGGTCTTTTTATCTGCTTTTGTAATGTACCCCTTATGCCAAACCAGGCAATCTCCTATGTACTGCAAATGTGAAATGGAATATATGACTCTTTTTTTGTCATGTTAATTATCAAATTATGTCTATCTTTTGAGCATTTTCAGCAATATAAATGCAAGATTTGCTTGTACAGGACAAAACAAAAAAACAAAACTTAACCAAAAAAAACAAAAGTGCAGCAGATTGGTTTCTGTAAACTTTGCTCTATTGCTTGCTTATACAGGACATGACTTAAAAAAAATAGAGCAACAAAAACAAAAATAGGGCAGCACATTATAGGAATTTACATGCTCTAATTGTCCCTATCATAAACCATTAATCACAGAATATAAACCATTAAATACATTGCATTAACACTACTAAAACTCCAAAATAGACATCATTAGCTAAGTAAAGCACCATTTCACAGTATGCACAAAAGAAGTCATCACCCATCACCCCTCAATCACAAGCATTTCCATCACTCCTTTCACTGATTGCTTGCAATAGGGATCCCCAATTTGCAGTCTCCATTTGATCCAACCTAGACTGTTTTATGGCCCTTAATCTCGCACATCTCTCCACCTAAAAAATTTCACAAATATACATTAATTAAATATATGAAATAGCAACTCGATATGAAAATCAATGTCTCAATGTCACCTACATCCAATTGTTGGTATGTTATACTTTGTCTTTGTGTCGGTTGATGTGGTTGCTTGTTGACCATATTTTCTTCCATGCTCATTATGTTAGTCCTCATTGCATTTTGTATATTGCAAGTCTTTGTGCTTTTACAACCAGGCTGGGAAAGAGAAGTTTAGACATTTTAATTTATAAAAATTAGACATACAAACATTATAAAAAAAAATACATTGATATAAAAATTGAAATTTAAAACTCACATCAAGAATAGATAAGGCAGTTTGAGGGTTGGGGATTTCCACCATTCCAAGCACTTTCCCTTTCTTTTTCTTCTGGTTTACTTGACCCTACACCCTCAAATTTCAGTTAATCATATTTTAAAAAATTTTATACTCATTAAAGACAATAAACTTGTCACAAAATGAAACATAAATAGATTAGTACCTTCTCTTTATTTTTTTTCTGCACTTGATTGCTTGCAACAACATTATTTTCCTTCTGCACTTGAGCACTATTGCCTGCAGCAACATTCTCAGTGAAGGCAACATTCTCAGTGATGTTTAGGGAGTTGTTCATCCCAAGGTCATCGGCTACAACACTAGGCCTTCTAACCCTCGACCTACATGTTGTCCTAAACTCTCTAGGTAGTCTCTTTGGAACCATCACAGTTTTCCTGGTAACTACTTGAATTGGTTGCTCAACATTTAAATTTGGTTGATTAGAATTTTGTGAGACACTTTTTGGAACTTGAACATCAATTGGAACTTGAAGAACAGGTTGCTGGACAATTTCTTGAACTTGAATAGCAATAGCAACAGCAGCAGTAGGAAGAGCATGATGCTGGATAGATTCTAAAACTTGAATATTAGTAGCAGCAGGTTGCTGAACAGGTTCAAGAACTTGATTTTGAACATGTGTCGATGACTCTTCAACCTATCACAAAATTCATATTACTCAATTAAATTTTAAACAAAAAAATAAATTTAATGTACAAGAACAAACAAAGACTTTGCTTTTATACTTACAGTAGTAATAGCAAGAGGCTGCTGGATAGATTCGGGAACTTGATTTTGAGCATTTGACAATGACTCTTCAACCTATCTCAAAATTCACAAAACTCAATTAAATATTAAACAAAAAAAATCTCAAAATTCAATTAAATATTAAACAAAAATAAATAAATTTAATCAACAAGAACAAATAAAGATTTGGCTTTTATACTTACAGTAGATTTTTGCTTTTTCACTGGACATGTCCTTGAGTTGTGGCCCTTTTTGAAGCAAGCTTGACAAGTCATGACCCTACCTTTCCTACTCATGTTTGATCCAAAAGCCATCTCCCATTCTTCTAAATGTCTTTTTTTCTTAGGTCTTCTTGTCGTCTTTTTTGGAATAGGAGGATCAATTTCAGGCATACCAGAATCAGCCCAAAATTGCATTCCATCAATAGGAATGATAAAATTTTTGTATGTGTCAATGTAAGCTTGCTTTCTATAGCATGGGTGCACATAATCTTCATACTCCTCACCCCTATGTTGGATGACAAGCATTCCATGTCTGCAAGGAATACCATTGAGTTGCCAAACTCTACAACTACAAGTACACTCACGAACATTGACTAGAAAAGAATATGGTCGCTCTTCCACTTCATAATGCCATCTTGCTTGTGACTTGATATGGCATCTTGTCATTTTGCTTCTGTGTTCTTCAATCTTTTCCCAAATTTTTGGACCAAATTGACCTTTAAACTTTCTGTCAGCAAATTCCAACTTTTCAATATTCCTCTTGCTGCACTTTCTTCTAAGATCCTCAAGTAGTGAGAGAGGTCCATTATGCCTTGCATCTAGAATGAAACCATTGAAAGTTTCACTCATGTTATTATCGACAGCATCACATTTTGCATCAGTGTCAAAGAAGGCTTTGCACCAGAATTTGGGGTCCAGCTTCATCAATCTTTCTTTTGCTACAGGCTTCAATTTATTGATTTGTTCTAGGTTCCTCCGAAATTCTACTTCATTTGTTGATTTTGCAGTGATCCAACACTATCTTTGCAATTCCTTACCTTTGTGATCCTTTCTAAAATTTGCATAAATATGCCTTGCACACCTTCTGTGACGTGCTTTAGGGAACAATGTCTGGATTGCATTAATCAAGCCCTATAAAATAGGAAAAGGAAAATGACTAGTATTTTCACAAGCATTAAAAATTAATCAAAAAATAACATATAACAATTAAAATTACCTTTTGTTGATCAGATATGAAGGTGAAACACTGTCCATCACCAATTTTGAGATCAGAATTCAAATACTCCAAGAACCATGTCCATGTGCTTGTGCTTTCATTTTCAACAATGGCCCAAGCAACAAGATACATTTGAGTATTCGCGTCCCTTCCGATGGCTGATAGTAATTGACCCTTCCAAGGACCTTTGAGAAATGCACCATCTAAACCGATTATTGGTCTACAACCAGCTATAAATCCTTCCCTCAGTGCAGCAAAGCAGACATAGAATCTTAAGAAGACAGGTTTAGAATCTGGTGTAGGCCTCATTGCATCAATTGCAACTGTAGAGTTGGGATTCTTCTTTAAAAGCTTCAATCTATAATCATATAACCTGCTGTATTCCTTCTCACAATTGCCTTCAAACTCTTTGATAATAAGTTGTTTTGCCCTTCTAGCTTGACTCATTGTGATTTCAAGATGCAATTCTTCTTTAATTGATTGTTGGATATTAATTTGGGTTGCTGCAGTAGCTGAAATACCTCTTGTCTTAATGAAATGTCTAGCTATAGTCCTTGATCTAACCCTTTTATTGTTCAAACTGTAACTGCAAGTATGCTCATCCTGGTATGTCTTTATCATCCAACTTCTTGTCCTCCCATCCAAAGAAAGTAGCAAAACCCAATTGCACCTCTTATCTGCGCATATAACCCTGACTCTTTTTTTATCATTTTTCTTCAACACTGTCTCTCTTCGCATATAAATAGATTGTGTAAGAACTGCATCTTTAAACTGCTTCCTGCTCAAAAATATCATTCCTATTTCAAATTGTGGAATGACTGTTGATTCATCAAACACCTTGTGTATGAACGCCTTCTTCTTGCTTCTTCTACCTCACTATCATCACTGGTTGTAACAAAACTAACCTCATCATCAGAATCAATTGAATCGCTGACTCCTTCCTCAACATATGCTTCACTTGGATCAACTAAAACTCCTTCTATTCCAACAGCATCTGCATATAACTTAAGAGTATCCTTATATTGATTCCTTGCAAATTGCCACTCCTCATCCTCATTGTCGGTCAGCCAAGGAACATCAATATACTCATCACCACTTAGCACATCTCCGATTCTTCCATCTGCATCCCCTGAATTTCTATTATGTTCTGCAACTATTTGGCATTCTTGGGTAACAGAACCTAAAGCATTTTTGTCCCCTAAATCAACTTCAACCCCATATGTACGGCAATCTACATTACATGCTACTGTCTCACCAACCATTACAACATCATTTAGTGAGCCACTATTTCCGTGGGAAGGCCCACCTTTTGTCACATGTCTCTGAATTTGGGATTCGTGCTCAACATACACATCTATATACCTATTAAACATTAGTAGTTGAAACATATCTTCAATTGACTCATCAGAAATAATTAACACAAGGCCATCATCATCAAACCTCTTTGCAGGATGTTTATACCATACAAAATCTGTCAAGCCATCCATGTCTATGTTTAACTCTTGTAATTTCTCTCTAAAAACAGCAGGTTGACATCTACTTGGTTTGAACCATATGCTATGAAAAGTACCACCGACATACCGAAGCGTTGGATTCCTAATAAATTTGCCTCCAAAATTCAAGTATATACCATATTCAATACAATCAGCCATTTCATGAGACCTACAAACATTTGGGACCACATATCAGAAAAGAACAAAGCAACAAATTCTACTATACTTTATTGAAACCTAACCCAAAAACCATGTCCATAAAACATAAATTATCAGTTGATTATTACCTTTTTGAAAGCCTTCACAAGCCTCGACAATTTGCTTGCTCCAAGCACAATGTCTTCACCTTTTCAGAGATTCCTGCAGTGGGTGCTCTGTAATTCTTGTGCATTGAGCTTTTCACAATTTGGAAAATAAGGAGAGAGTGGGTTAAAAAATCCACTCATGTGATGGACACTAAACTCCAAGCGAGAACAAAATTTTTTTTGCCGCCTATTTTGGCTGCATTCTTTTTGCGCCAATTCCTCTGTTTTATTTTTCCGCGCCATGTCCTCTGTAAACTAGAAAGAAGAAACAAAAATACAGAACCAAAAGAAAAAAAAATGGTCTCACTTGTCTAAAAAAATTAATAAACAATAAGTTGGATATTTGACCGTTAGTAATTAACGGGTCAAATTAACGAAAGTGTGGATGGCATCCCATTAGGGATGACATTGAACAAAAAATGTGTAGTAGAGGGATGACATTTATACTATTAAGGAAAGTAAAGGGATGACATCGAACATTTCCTTAGTAGAGGGATGGTAACGAACAATTTCACAAAGTACGAGAACTACAGTTGGCTTTAACCCTTTTTTAAAAAGTTTAATTTATCTCTAATAGTATATTTAGTTTAAGAAAAATAAAAGAGAGAGGAGAAGAATGAAAGATATTTTATCCTTCTAAATCCTTCAATTTTTCTCATTTAAATAAATTAATGAATTAAAAAAAAAAAAAGAAGATAAAGTAAAAGGTTTTCTTGTCTTCCCTTCTTTTTAGTTCCTTTAGTAAAAAAATAGAGAAAATTTTTCTACTCTCATTCCCTCCTTTTATCCCAAATATACTGTAAATTTTGAAAATTTGATCCATTTTTATCCATTCCGTTAAAATTTTGTTGAGTAGATAAGAATGACATTTTTAAAAAATATTTGATGTTAAAAATTCAATTTTTTTTTTCTTATTATTTTTCTCGGGCCTGGAATAGATCCAGGTCAGTCAAGGAGTCAGCCCAGAATGGTTTCTGGGCTAGTTTTGACCTGGTGTGGTCTTGAGCGGGCCGTGTTAGGACCGGGCCACTTGTCATGTATACGTAATCATGAGACGCCTAGAGCCTGTTTAGTGAAAAATGGTTTTGTTGAGGTTAGGCGGCGCCTTATCTCATCTCTCACTGCTTCAGGTTCAGCTGCCCAGAAAAACCTCCTCGCCATTGTCACTCCCACTCTTCCACCCCTTAAAGTCAAAGCCTAGAACAAGGGTTTGAATTTGATTGAGACTTAATTGAACAATCTTCTACTTACTTAACCCATTTCCTAAAGTTGTCTCCTTTTTCATCTTGCAGCAGAATCCATTTCGATTTTATTCCATGGCATCATCGGAGCCTAAGGAGTCGTCGGCGAATAACCCTGGCCTCCACACTACCCCGGATGAAGCCACCAAAGGCTACTTCATGCAGCAGACTGTAAGTGCTCCTCGCCTTCTGTGTGTAGTGTGTGTATTGAATTCTCCCTGTGTATGTCTGTTAATGGGTTTGATTAAATTTTCCTTTTTGCTGGGTGTTTGATTATGTTGCTTGCTGCAGATGTTTCGAATTAAGGATCCTAAAGTCAGTCTTGATTTTTACTCTCGTGTATTGGGCATGTCGTAAGTTTAACAGTTCTACGCTGGTTTTTCATTTTTGTTCAGTTCTTTCGATTCTCAATAACTCATGCTGGTTCTTGCATCTCTTTGTGTTCTCTTTCCCTAGTTTTTAATCTAGACATGGTGAATTGATTATTCTTCTTTTTAATGTTTTAGATTACTTAAGAGGTTGGATTTTCCAGAAATGACGTTCAGCTTGTACTTCATGGGCTATGAGGTAAAAATGCATGTACCCTCATGAACAAGAAGTTATGTTCATTATTTTGTAAACGTTGGGTTTGAAGCCTGACAATATTACATTTATTTGTTGGCAATCTATCATCTTTAAGTTCAGTTCATAACAATAATGTTCTTTTTCTTTTTTATGTTTTTTGTTTTTCAAGAGCCATGTTGTAAGGATAGCATTTTTGATATTAAGTTCCCTTTAGAATATTTAGGTGAAGAAATTTATTTTAAATATGTTTTCTGAGTAATTCAGGACACTGCATCATCTCCAAGTGACCCAGTTGATAGAACAGTTTGGACCTTTGGAAGGCCAGCTACAATTGAACTAACACAGTAAGGATTGTATATGTTTTAGTCTTGATAAGTCATTATTTTTGGTTAGCAAGTCTTTAACAGTTTGGTACTTCTAACAGTAACTGGGGTACTGAAAGCGATCCTGAATTCAAAGGATATCACAGTGGGAATTCAGAACCCCGTGGCTTTGGTATGTAGTTATTGTTAATAAGTATGAATATAATCTTCGTGTTTGCTTAGCTATAGATGTTCACAAATTAGACAATTGAATGACATGAAAAAAATCTGTTTGCCTTGTTGGTGAGACCCAAAATTCTTTTACCAGGATTTTTTTCAATAGAAAATAACGTTCTCAAATTGCAGCTACTGCTTACTAGCTAGCCACTTTGCCAAGTTCAGTAAGTAGTTATAGCCCATTAAATGTATCTCGCACTTTCTGGGACTTTACTTTTATATTCAAGTTAGTAAACAACATCAGGAATTCTCTCTTTTTTAATGTTTAGAGTTTAGACTTAGGATTCTGTATTCGTGGTGGTATTGGCATTGAATTACTAATTTGTCAGCATATGCTTTTCAGGGCACATTGGGGTCACCGTTGATGACACATACAAGGCATGTGAGAGATTTGAACGCCTTGGAGTTGAGTTTGTGAAAAAACCAGATGATGGTAAGCTACGTTCTTCAGGCTATGAATATTAACACTTCAATATAAACTTTTTATGGTTTCATTGCTGGAGATTATAGTGGCTTAAAAACATGTGACATTAATATCTGTTTTAACTTGACGTTTGCATTATGAGTTGCTTCTGTAAGAAAATCTAAATCGAACAATTCAGCATGTGATTCAATTCAAAATTGGCGACTTACCCGTGCCTAGTTCTACCAAAGTAGCTCAGTCTTTCTTTGATGAACTCATATAAAAAATAGAAGGTTCGGGATCCATGAGAAATCTTGAACTTACCATTGTTCTTGCAGAATAATGAAGAGGCAAGATTAGATGATTGATGATAGATAAGAAGAATCAGTAGTTTCATTAGTTATTGGTTCTAGGTCTAACATTCCATGGTCATTATTCTCAGTCAAATATTCAGACTGACAAAGCAGAAGCCTTCTAGAACTTGGAATGAGTTGTTTTCTTTGGAATAACAAGTTTATTAATCCATAGGACTGCACAAGCACTGCTATATGGGGAATGGTTCTTTGTTCAACCTGACTGGATGATATTTTATTGATATTTAATGTTTAGTGGAGGGATTTAAGGAGCTTTGTGTTCTCAGAATCAAATATCCATCCAAACTTAAAGATGATTTCCACTCCTTTTTTTCTTGTGTAAATAGGAGGCAAGGACCCTCACTCTACAAAAAGGTTAAGGCATAGGAACATGTGCTGTCAATGAATGAGCTAATTTTAATTTCTTTAATGTTCTTTAATTAATGTAACTTCAATGGGATACCGAGTTGGTAACCAACTTTGTTGGCCTTATGGGTAAAAGCATTTTTCAAAACCGGAATCTTTTTTATGAGCCATGTGAACTGTTATTCATTGTCATAATGTAAAAGGCTAGCCGGATTGCTTACTTTCAATTATGTAGAGAGACTTCAATTCGTCCGTGATCTGTCAATTAATCTGGGTTGCAGGGAAATTGAAAGGGATAGCATTCATCAAGGATCCTGATGGCTATTGGATTGAAATTTTTGATCTGAAAACCATTGGGAAAATAACTAGCAGTGCTGCTTGAGTTAATGTCTCACCAACTTAAGGTAGCCTTCTGAGTTATTGTTGTGCTGCTTTCTGTTCAGTGTTGATTGACTTCATACTAAGTTACTAACAATGGAAGACCAGGCATAAAAGGCTTGGAAACTAAATATGCTTTATATGCTTGACCATATGATATGGAACTGAAACATGTTATTTTGGATGCAGTTCTGGATTTTCATTGGGTGTCAACGAGTGATGTGTGTGGAGGTTTTGAAAACATTTCCTTTCTTTATCCAGATATTCACTGAAGGGAACGTCTTCCTCTTCAGCTGGGAATGAATACGGATATTTCTGTCAGAGAGTGTAAATTTTACTTGCCCTGTATTGACAATTTAAAAGAGATGAACATCATTTCTCAAAAAAAAAAAAAGAGATGAACATCATTCTACTTTTTACTGTGGAGCAGAAGCGTCTTTCCAGTAGAATTTGCTTCAGTTTACCAAACATGAATAAATAAAACTTTGTTTGGGGCTATTATTATATTTTAGTTTTGAGTTTTAACTTTCTGTTACACTTTTTATCATGGGGATCCTGCTTGATGGAATCCAAGCAACAGAAATGTAGGCACTCTTTTAGCTAGGTTTACATATGCTTGATAGAAACTTCTTCAATTTCAAAGGAAATAAAGCAAAGAGCAGTGCCCACATAACAACAAAAAATAACAGATTTCCTTTGGAAAAGTATTCTTTGGTTTTGAAAACTTGAGTGAAGGATTCATCTTCCTAGCAGCAAAAAATCAAACCCATCTGCGGAATCGAGGGAAATGAAAATGAAAAGCAGAATATATTAATACAGGGACAGTTGAATTAAGGTGTCAAGTAGTTTGGTTGTAACATCTCAAAAGTATCTCATTTTTAATTTAAGGTCTTAATTTAATCCAAGGATTATGCCAAACTTGTTTGGTTATTGCAATTAGTTTATTTCTCAAAAATTTTGAATTTTTTGCATAATTAGCCATCTTTTTTTTTTTTTTTTTCATACGTAAAACTTAAAAATTAAATTTTAAATTTTTGATAAAAAAAATAAAAATAATTTTATTATTAAATCACAATATTAATGGCATAACTAGCCATCCTATAGAAGGCAAAATACTGTTGTCATCATCCTGATGCCCTCATGCAATTTCAAAGGCTCTATCCTTGAACCCTTTAATTTTTATTTTTTAAAAAAGATCATCTTCTTGTTAGTAATTAAAAAAAAAGCTTAATGTATTGCGTCAGATTGTCAGTAGGTGCCACACTTTTGACCTTTGCACTTCACTAGAAAAGACATTCCTAGAAATGCTTTCCCCTCATCGCTCCATAATAAATCCAATCCACCTCATCAACAAAATTAATCAAACATTTTAGCTGGCACTCCAATTAATCTTATATGAGATGCAGATTGCAAAACTATTTTTATTACTAAAAAAATCTCAGTCCTTAACAAGATTACAAGGCTGGAACTAGCTGATGGTCCTGACAGAGATCTTGCTTGGTCAGATCATGTAATTTTGGAGCCCTTTGGGCACCTTCCCAAGGGGGATTCCCTGTCACTGTTTAATTTATATGCATTTTTTATTTCAAGAGTTTTTTGAAAAAAAAAAAGAAAAAAGGAAAGAAAAAGTAAAGGGAATGGAGGAGGAGGATGAAATGCAACCCTGTCTTCCAACTATACGTTTTGACCGCGTTCATAAACAATAATGATTGTTTGTTATCAACAAAATGCTTAGAATATGCATTGAGTTTGATGACCATTTTAATGATTTTAAAATGGGTACAAATTTCTCTAAAGAGGATTATCTTAGAAAACTGAGATTATGATTGACTCTTAGACCATTTTTAAAAGCTTTTCCCCTCCATAAAGTCCCAAACTTTCCTCCATCATCCCCTTTTGAGCATGACCTAATTCATGGAAAAAGACTCTGCACCTTCTTTAGGGTACCCCACCCATCCCATTGCCCTTCATTTCTTGACACTAAAATGAAATTCAAAGGGATATAATCACCATTTGAACTAGTAGGGCACGATGGAGTGTGATTAAGATCTTACGTCAAAGGGTGGTTATAGTTTATAGTTTACCCTTTTTTTTTTCTACAAAGGTCTTTTTCAACAGCAGAAAATGTGAGATTTACTAATTAAATGTGGACAGTTTTTTGTAATGGGTCGTAATGTGTAAATGCCATCATACGGTACCCCTATATGCTCAAAAATATGTAAAGAGAAAGAAGTGTTAATGTTTGAGATGGGATTATAACTTTTCTCTAGTTGTCATAAACATTTATTTCTGATTGGGGGTTACACAGCGAGCAAAGAGCCGTACATAAACAAACATCATCACCTCCCAAAAAGAAATGCAAACCAAAAGAAACGAGGCTTTTCCCATGTACTGTCAATAGAGGTAATGTTTCATTTCATTACATTAAAAAAAAAAAAAACACAGTACCCCAGAAACTCAAAGTCATGTTCTGCAGATCTCTCTCCCCTCCCCACCCCCCAGACCCCAGTCCCCACACACACATTTCCCCCTTACCCCATCAAATCTTTCTGATTTTACTTGCAGTCAGTACTCAAATCAGTAGTGGTAGTACATCACCTTCTCTTGTGTCTTACTTTCATCAATGAACAACAAGTTGCTGGTATTGATGCTGCCATTAAAAGTACTACTTGGGCTAATCAATTGCTTAACATCTTCAAGGTCATAGTCCAATTGAGTTTCCCCACAGTACCCATTTACCTTCTCATTCCACCGGTTCACATTTTCACCTCCACTGCTCCCATAACTCAGCATGAATTTGTAGGTTTGATCTTCATATGCACCAGAGGATGCAAAATTAGTACCACCCATGTGATGATGATCCACCTCTTGTTTGATCTGGATGCAACTTCCATCAGAAGAGCTGCAACTTGTTTCACCGCCAAATATCAGGAAATTGTCCTTCACACATGGATAATACACAGGACTCATCAAACTTTCAGGGTTCTGAAGAAAAGAGGAAGGATTGTTACTGGCTAAGGTAGAGGTGTTGTGCAAAAGGTTGGATTGATGAACCGAGGAAATGGGTTCAAACCCTGTGAAAGGTTTGGTTGTAATATTATAGTAAGAAGTGGTGCAGTCTTTGTACAGTGATGAAAATAGAGATTCAGATGATGCTGGTGGGAATGGTGGTGGTTTTCTTTGGGATTGTGGAGGAGTAGCAGACATGGCCATGAGTTTCTTCTTCAGCTTGGTGTTCCAGTAGTTCTTGATATCATTGTCAGTCCTGCCCGGTAACTGAGCAGCAATAATTGACCATCTGCAACACATTTCTGCATGTTAGAAAAGCAAACAAGAAAGGAGAAAAAATGTTCCATAAGAACTAAAATCTGTGTTCCCAAAACAGCTAGAAATGGTTGTTTTGATGTTAAATCCAAACTTGGCATGCATGCAGAAAATTATCCAAAAATAGCAGAATCTTGACACAAGAAAGTTCCAGATTTTGCAGGAAAAACCTAAAACATTTCTATTTCTTCTTCTTTCTCTTTCTTAGCCCATTTAGATAGATTTTATTTTATTGATTTGGGGTTTTCTTTTTCTTTTTGAGGTGGAACGGGAGAGAACCAGTACTATACCTGCTCCCGATGGTAGCAAAGAGGCTGCAGATGATTCTGTCTTCCTCATCAGTGAATTCTCCATGTTTAATGTTTGGCCTGAGATAGTTCAGCCACCTCAATCTGCAACTTTTTCCACATCTCTTCAAACCTGATTCAGGAAAAAACCCATAAAAAAAAAACATCCAGAGGGACAAAGAAAAAGGAAAAAAAGATTGAATTTTGATTGGTTTTTGATGATGAAGAACTTACCAGCTTTCTGAGGAAGAGCAATCCAATTCCCACCGGTCCCATATTTCTCTATGTACTCCTTGAGTTTGGTGTCTTCTTCTGGAGACCAAGGCCCCTTCTTCACATTTGCCTTGTCACAGCAAGGAGCCCTCCCCATCTCTCTCTACCTAGAAACAGTAGTACTTGTTGTGATCTCTTGGAAATGCTTACTTCCTCAAGGAACCAACTGATGAAAACCTTTGGTGGGGGTCTGGTGCCCTTTTAAAAGAGAGACTTGAGAGACTTGTGTGCTTTGGATGGGGAATGAAAAAAATATTCAATTTATTCAGAGAGAAAGAGAGAGGCACATAAGTCAAAATGGTAAAGGCAATGTTATAGCAGTTTCTAACTCCTATGCTAATTAGCTTAGCTAATAGAACTTTCCATTTCTCAAAGGGTGTTTGACCGTATTTGGCACCCAAAGTAAAACTCTTGCACCGTTAAGTCTATTCTCCCTCTTCCTTATTCTCTCATCATCAAAAGCATCCAATGTTTATTTCATCACGTAAGAGGGCAATTCATTTTTCTGTTTTCGGATTAATTTATACTTATTAAATCATTGAAAGACAGATTATAATCATTATATTCACGCTAAAATTGAAAAAAACTATACAATAAAAAAGTTTGCTCCTTCAAGAATTGGAGCTTGGATTTATAATATAGAGCTGTTACCAACAATTAGACTAATTAATTACCGCAATATATTTGATGAATAACTAATAGGTACAGTGGACTTTGAATTGTGACATTTTCCAAACCGCAGACTAATTCAGTTGGTAGGTAAAAGATAACTAACTGGCTTCAACTTAGAAGTAAATGATATATATTGGTTACCAAAAATCTTAAAGAGGTCAGCAGCACACACCACCGGCAATTAATCAAGCCGTGGACTTTATATAGGGTCTACTGTTTAAAACCTTATGATGTGTCACTTCATTATAATGATATAATGATATGTAGAATCAAATTACTACTACCATACTCAATAAAACAACTCCTAGGTTAACCCCATTTTTAGAAGCAACAAGATTAAGGAACACTGTCAGAGACTTCATTCATCATTGAAACACACATGAAGATGAAGCTCAATGGAGGTGTTCTTCTGGGCCACATATATATATATATATATATATATAGAATTAGAAATATTGCATGGTAAGTGATGGATGATGGTGATGAAGAATTATATGATCAAACTAAAATGAAGGGTCCATCTGTAAGATTCTTTGTCCTTAAATTCATCTGATCAGGTGTTTTCTGGACTGACTCATCAATGAACATTGCTGGGACTTTTGAAATTGTTAACGCATCAAACAGTATTGCAAAATAAAAGTTTGCAAACAATTCTCCAGTACATGGTAAAACATTTCCTTTCCTCTGGAGGCCTTTTTGGGTTGCCTCTCTGGAGGGACACGGCCCTAGCTAGGGATTTTGTAGGGTATAGAGATCAAACTTAATTTCAATTCACATGCATTGAAATTAAGATAGTGAATTGTATTCTAAAATAAGAAATTTTGCTGGTATGGATCATGGAATATTCAAAGTCTTGCATTTATTGCCATGACATGTGGTAGTGGGAAAATAAATCTCAAGCTTAGACAGAGGTATCTCCTTGTTCATATGCGTGACACTCAAAAAAACCCAATTGTCTCCATTGTTTGAGAAGATTCTAAATATATAGGCCTAGGTGATTAGATTAATTCTTTCATTCATTATCTTATAATACTCATTTATTTACAATTTAAATTTAAATTTTTTAATTTAAAAAGAAATTATTACTAAAATACTTAAATCATTAACATAATTACATAATAATCTTAAGTGTATGTTCCTCAATTGACTTGATAATTATGAATGTATTTAGTACGTGACACCTTATAATAATTCATAATTTCATTGCATTTAATATTGAGTACATGACATGAGTCAAGTCGTCTCATAAAAATACATATATAAGCCACGGAAATATATATATATATATATATATAGACTTTAATGACTTCGATTCGGTAGAAAATAAATAAATAAAAAGAAAAAAGATTTTGATTCAGTCATTACATGCGTATTATTAGTCTTCGCTGCGGAAACCCATGAATGATTAATCATTTCTTGTGACGGAGGGTTTAGATTTATTAGTAATTACAAAGTAATTACATTAAAAAAGTTTTATCCCTTCCGTCTGAATACAATAAAGTAAAATACAAAGACATAGATTTGTTTCCTTAAGAATATTAACGAGGAAGTAACTTTTTATAAATTTTTTAATTTTAGTACAAATAATTTATTTTTAACTAAACTGAAAAAAGAAATTAATTTTAACTAAATTAAGAAAAGAAATTAATTTTAAAATGCGTACAAGTTGATTCGATCCAAATGCTATGTCATGATGTATGTGTAAAGATGCATCAATATGCATTATGACTTAGCAGTTACAGATTAAGACTTCTAAATTGCGCTTTACAAATGCTAAGAAAAAAAAGAAGTTTGATGTTAGTGCTAAATATCATTTCGAGTGATCACATAAATGGAATAAACATATGCACCCAAATTTAATTTTGTTAAAAACCAAGTTCAATTTGAAATAAAATTTGCAAGCTAGGCATGAACCATGAAGGAGCATGCATGCCGCATTGCCGCTAGCTAAGAACAAAAATGTTATAGATAAGTTTAATTTGCATACATCATTCAAGGCAGGCAAAGGGTATCAAAACAAAGATATGTCGGCTGAGGTTCATATTCTTATTCTCTGTCTGATACCTACATGCAATTTGAATAATTCAAAAATCATTGTATATATCTTTCTTAATTACCTCGCCTTTTCGTTGACTTCGATTTTATCTCTTTGCTCTGCTTAATTTATAAACACAACCCGCGGCCAATTAATCATTGTTTTAATTTTACGAAAAAGCGTTTCTTTTCCTTTTTCTTTGTCATAATAAACTTTAATGGTAATTTTAGAAGTACTTAAATCTATATTTTTT